ACTGCATATATTTTCGTTATTTTGAACAGGTATACTAAAAAACACACAAAAGTAACTATGCCAAATAGATAAGGTTATCATTAGGGTTAGGATAAGTTTCTACTGTCGCAAAATGTGAGGGATGAGATGTAGGTTCAGGAAGAACATATTGTTTTCGCTGATTTTTTTTATTTATGTAGTCTCTCTAGTATTTATATTTCCTCGAGTTAATAAAGTCAACTTAGAATCAAATAGTTCGAATAAAAAGGAGACTAAATTAAAAAAAATTAAACGCCCGCTATTTAATGCCTTAAGTAATACAAAGTGCTATTTTACGATTCATTATTACCCAAATTAAAACAACCTTTTAAGAGGATTTTAAAGATCTTTTAGAGAAGATCTCAGCTAATTAAAAAGTCAAATTAAAGAATGAAAATAAACTTCGACTTCAAAGCGCCTACACGAAATTTAAATTTCGAATATGTTTTAATTTTGCCAGAATAATGGTTTCTTCGAAGTATTGGGATGTTTCAAATTTGTAGTTTGAACAAATTATAATTTACAATGTATTTATTACTATGCCTAACGATATTTTAGAATTTATTACGTCACTATTGAGGTTTTGTTTAGCTGTGTGATTTCAAAAGCGAAGTAATCGTTATCTATCTTGTTCTCTTTGAAAAAATTGTAACAGACAATACATTAGACTGTTTCACAAACTAGTTATTCATTGTCAAGCGGGTAATTAAGTGTCATTACGTTATGAACAACTTTTTAAATTTATACGACATTAAATTGTGTTTCGGCTTGATACGTAATAATTTATAACCGGAATATTTCAAAACTAATTAGCTTTAGTTCTAATAATAAACGTAACTTTTGTTATTCTGTAATAATGCTTTGAAATGTAGTAAGATTTTTTAAATCGGCGGAGTAGTGTTTGAATTCATTCGTTATATACAAAAATACAAATCTTTCCTCTTTTTAATATAGATATCGTGTTTGCGTAAATTAAAAGTCATGTGAAATTGATGTAACCGAGAGAAAATTTATTTTACATTCACTTGTAAATAAATTACGGTCTTTTTAATTTTGTGCATATTTCATTTCACTCGAAAAAGTAATTATGTTGCTTGATTTACTGTTGTACGAATTTTTATCTGATAGCAGCGGATTTTTTTTTATTTCAATACGAACTCATTTATTTTCTTTTAATGATAGATGTCGCTTGGTTGCTTTGGGTTTTTGTTTAAAAAATGTCCCAACTGGACATAATAATTAGGATAACTAGAAAGGTTTCTTATACTTCGCCAGAGTCTCAGGGCCACGATAATTAAGCGGCAAATAAGCCATAGTCAACCACGCTGTCCCAGTTCGTCTTGGGTGACTTCACACATATCTTTAAATTTCTTCGCAGATATACTCAGGTATTATGATGTTTTCCTTCCCCGTAAGAAAGTCAGGTAAACTCAATGAAGCTTCAAACGAAATAAACGAGTAGATAAAGTTAATTAAATCTTTCATAATTATGGCATCGAAATGGACAATGCAAGACGGACGTGGCAATTGAAATGCGATTACATTATTCAGTATCGATCGTCGCATGTCCATCTCTGGCAGGTCCTTCAATAATTTATTGTCCGACGCCACCTGGCATACGACCGTTCGAGTTACAGTTTTACACTTCACGACCACGTAACGATATCGACACGATTTATAAAAATACAAAAAGGTTTAAGTTTACGTTCATTGTGTGTACACCTCTAATATCAAATTGCGATTACTCTAAAAAGCATTATAGGTTAAACTCTTGTTGTCCCTGTCTTTCTCAAAGACAGTGAGAGGGAGATCATTTGTTTTAAACAAGTGAAGACATGGTCACATGGTCTATTACATGTTTTTAGATCACTTACTTCAGTACAACGCAATCTGTTACCTATAATGTCGGATAACCGAATACCTGATGTAGTAAAACGACTGACCAATACCGTCGGTTCATTATTAATTAATAATTTCCGCGTCACTTGTCGGCATGGGAATATCAAAATAATGTAAAACATTTATTACGACGCCTCCGACTCATATTTGATTTTAAATTTCAGTAAAATCGAACGTAATTTTAAAATGGAATACAATATGCTTTTTTGCGAAATGGGCAAAAAGGTACATAACCTTTTATTCATAAACATTTTCCATAAGGAAGTAGAAAAAAGATAGAGGAAGGAAAAGAGATATCAATTTAAGTCCTAATTCTGACAAAGAACCAAAGGTACGGGAATAAAACCATTTTTTGCTAGACCATAGAAAATCGTTAGATCTAAATTGCAAACCAAACGTGGTATTAACGTCTGTCAATCGCCTAAGCTGTAGCAGCCGCTTCAACTGCAATCATCAGTTGACCTACTGACTTCCATAAATTCATAATGAAGCTTTTACCCTATTGAACACCTGTCTTGTTTCAAAGTTTTTAAAGAAAAACAATTACCAATTCCGAATACACGCTAGGTTTTAAAGTTTTACGATAAGTTTTTTTTTTATAACATAAGGTGGCAAACACGCAAGCGACCACCTGAAATCGCCAAAATTGCGAAGCGACCGCTGCCCATAGACGTCTGCAATTGCAGATGCGTTGCCTACCCTTAATTGACGGAGGAGGGGACGCATATAGAGGTCATTTCCCCTTCCTATGCGTCTCCTCCACCGTAAAATCCACTTTTCCTCTCAAGAAAAGGGTTGAAAGTGAAAGGGACTTAAATTAGGCCGCCGGCACCACACTCATCAGACGAAACACGGAATTGCTTCCATTTCACGCCTGTCTTCTGTGTGGTCGTGGTATTACACCGGGCGTGCCGGCCCTGCAGTGCTAAGATGTTAAAGCGGGCACTACCACTGTCAAAACGTGAATGTGCACACTTTCTTAGTGGCTCTTTAGTTGTGCAACGAAACAGTTGAATGGGCTGCGAAACAATCGACAATCGCACTACAGTTACGCGATACTTTAGTCAAAGATAAGCGCCCGCTGTGACTGAGATTCTTAACCTCTGAGTTTGTGTTTTGTTTATTGTCTTTTAAGCATTCCTTACTAGCGCGTAATTGTTTGTTTTTATTGTTTTAATATCTGAACTCATCATATACATGTCTACAGAGACCTGACGATATGCGTTTGCATCTCAGATGACTCTATATTCAATCTAAACTAATATTATAAAGAGGACAGATCTGTATTTTTGTATGTATTAAAATAACTCACAAAACCACTGGGCCGATTCTAAAAATTCTTGTGCTGTTAGAAAGGTAGTTTATCTGTGAGTAACATAGAATTTTTTAATTTCACACGGAAGAAAGCAACAGCTTTTAACAGTGGTAGTGCCCGCTTTAACATCTTAGCACGAATGGGCCGGCACGCCCGGTGTAATACCACGACCACACAGAAGACAGGCGTAAAATGGAACCAATTCCGTGTTTCGTTTGATGAGTGTGGTGCCGGAAGCCCAATTTAAGGCCCTTACTCTTTACCACCCTTGTCTTATAAGAAGAGGATGTGAAGGGGAAGTGGATTTGACGGTGTAGGAGATGCATAGGAAGGGGAAATATCCCCTTTATGTGCGTCTCCTCCTCCGTCGGTTAAGGGTAGGCAACGTATCTGCAATTGCGGATGTCTATGGGCAGCGGTCGCTTCGCCATTTTGGCAGCTTCAGGTGGCCGCCTGCTCGTTTGCCACCGGATGTTATAAAAAAAAACAGCTAGTCAAAAATAAAAGCATTACGTCCTTAATAAAAGTGACACAACCTTACTTCTATTGCCTATTTCAACGAATGATGTTAACCGTATGATAAATAACTATTCATAATTAGTCAAATTGTTTAACAATATCTTGAATTAACACAATTTAATTGTTGCTTCCCAATTGTTTCTGTACATGTTTTTCAGCAGTGTAAACTCATGGTTGCACGTACTGTGCACTATCTCCCATAAACTAACCCGATATTTACCTTGAGGATTTTATAGTTAGGTAGAAAATTGGTAATTTAAAACGTCCGTAGAAGTTTAAGTATCTGTAGTGTTCGACGAAAGGATGGAGATTGAATTACGTTTTGTACACTAACTTTCAAAATAAATCACACACTCTTGTAGTTTAATCATTTTAATATTATATGACTGCTCTGTCAAATCTTACTTCCTACTAATATTAAAAATGCGAAAGTTTAGATGGATGGATGGATGGATGGATGTTTGTTAGCGTTTGTAGTCTAAACGGCTGAACGGATCTCTATGAAATTTGGCACAGGTTTAGAGCATAGTCTGGAAGAACACATAGGCTACTTTTTATCCCGGGAATAGTTACGGTTCCCGTGGGATTCATTAATTTAGTTTTTTAATGTTTACTCGATTATTCTGCAACGGTTCAACATATCTTATTGAAATTTGGCACAGATATAAAACAAAGTCCGGAGTACACATGGGATAAGCTTCATCCCCGAGAAATGTCCGGTTCCCGCGGGATACGTAACTTTTTGTAATTTATATAGGTTGTATGTTTTCTAATACCACGCGGAAGGAGTCGCGGGCAACAGTTCTTATCAAATAAAACAAACATCTGTGATTATAAAATATGTATACTTACAAAAGTAAAAAACTATATCGCGTGGTTCTTTATCCAACTCTTAAAAAAGGAGATGAAAGATTACTTTTTACTTACTTCTTCAAAATTTAATAATATATAGAAAGAATATGTAAATAAAAATAAAAATGGTACCTTTCAATAAAATCAATCTCTTCTAATTTTATCATAAACGAATATTTGTTTTATTCTCTTAAGGTTTTTACAAAACCATTTTTTTTGCAATACAGTGTACTACAAGTTTATAGGCAAATGTATGTAAACAAACTCGGAACGAATCACAAACAGCGACGGTGTCAAGAGACGTGAATGGACCAATCAGGGTAACCGTAATGACATTCTTTCCTAGAAGAGAGTAATGCAATTCTGCAAAACAAAGCCCAAGCTCAAAGCCGTTATACTTTAGAGTCCATTTCTATTTTTGTACTAGTAGCACGCATAGCAGTGCATACAAAAGCCGTAATGTACGATACAATTGTGATTTGCTTACGTTAGGTTGATTGGCGTCAATAGTTGTTTATTTCATTTTACTGAACAGTTCCATTTTGATTTGAACGCGTGCGCAGTGATTTAGTGCTTGTGCGTGGCAGCATTTTAAAGTTAAAAAACCGTTTGTTTTTTATATTTTACTATATATATAAACTTCTGAGATTAGGTAAGTTAATGATTTTCTGTACTCTTTGATCGAAATAGTTGTGATTTAGAATTCATCAAGTAATTTTAATAAAAACATAATTACTAATTTGAACTTTATTGTTAATAGAATGCGTACTTTGGCATGTTTAATTTATTAAATTTTGACAGATAGTAATATATCATATCTTCGTGTATTTGATTTGTATTTGTTGATGTTTTTGAACAATTTTTTATATCGGGTGAATTTATTCCCGGAATCGTTTCCTAAAAGTAACATCTAAAATTACTTTTAATTAACAAATGTAGTTAGATTCGAATTATGTTTTTGTAATTCTTCATGAAATGTACTCATAAAACTAAACAATATCAATTCACTCATCGAAAATATTTATTCTCGGCTTGAAAGTTTTAATTTATTTTCAGTTAAAAATGCAAGATCGCTTAAACAGATGTTCAATATGGTTTTGGGAAAAATGCTGTTTTTTGACCGCAATCCTTCATGTTGTATGTATTTTATTATTTAACATGTTACTAATTTCATAAAAGCGAATGTTAGGATGGATGTTTGTTAGAGTTTGTGGCCTAATGCTGAACGGATCTCGATGAAATTTGGCAGAGGTGTATAGGATAGTCTGGAAGAACACATGATACTTACTTTTTTTTACCACGCGGACGGAGTCGCTGACGAAAGCTAGTTTGAGATAAATTTATTATACGGTTTTTTTAGGTTAGAAACACTACCATTGCGACTTACATTTTTTCATTTACAGTCAATATCATTCTTTAAACTTTACTTACTTTACTATTAAAAAATGAAAGAAAAATTGAATGAAATGTATAACGTACTATGTCCAAAATACATTGACGTAAGTCGCTGAAATTAAGCACTTTTATAAAATAACTAGCTGTTTCCATTCGACTTCATTGTCATGAATTTATACAAATTGTTTTATTGATTACATGTGTCAAATTCAATTGCAAATGTCAAAATGACAGACATGACATGATGACAAAGCATGGCAATTTTGCTTCCTTGATGTTGGCACCAACTTATGGTCTCTTTCCCACATTAGGGTTTTTATCCAGAATATTTACCCCCTAAGTTTAATGGCGTGAAAACATATAGCCTAAAGCGTGACGTAAGTGTTGGACTTTTTATTGAAGTAACAATTATTCAAAAATATGCTGTAATTGCCGCCAACTTAAGCAACAAAAAATTAGAACATTGCCTACTCACTAAGTTGTTTTTTAATTCCGCGCGGTCAAAGTCAATGACATATTTCAGTAAAGTTTATAAAAACTTGTACGCTGCCTCAATGTGGGACAAGGCTAAGGAATTTGATATGTTAAGTTGTTAATTATTTACTTATTTTTAATTTTCAGATAGCAATATTTATAGAAATAGGGACCCACATCGCATTGGTTTTGTTTGTAACGAACGGTTTGCAGTGTAACACCAACCTTGATGCGGTAAGTTCTTATTTAATAAACTGATTAATGATAACAGTGGTAGAACATTTTCGCACGAATGGGCCGGCTCGCCCGGTGTAATACCACGACCACATAGAAAACAGGCGTCAAGTGGAAGCAATTCCGCGTTTCGTCTGATGAGTGTGGTGCCGGAGGCCTAATTTTAGTCCCTTTCCACTGTTTTTTTTAAGAGGAAAGGATGGAAAGAAAAAGTGGATTTGACGGTGGAGGAGACGCATAGGAAGGGGAAATTTCCTCTTAATGTGCGTCTCCTCCTCCGTCAATCAAGGGTAGACAAGGCATCGCTTTCTTTTCGTGATTTCGCTTTCCATTACGGTGAATTCAGGTGGCCGCTTACTCATTTGCCACATATTATGATTAATGAGTTATTATAGTCTGTAAAATTGTTGATTAACCTTGTCTTTAATAATTTTTCAGCTTCATAAAATCTGGATTACGCTCGAAAAGATTATACACTTTTCGACATTAGGCGTGCATGGATTCACATCATTTCTGGTTCCATACTCCGTACAAGATCACGAAGATACGTTAAACGAGAAGCTGTGTTGTTATGGTATCATACATTTGCCAGTTCTTGATACTCTCATCATCGTCATCAACTTGATGTGGTACAAATTCGTGTTGTCGTTCTACTATTCCTTGTATAGGGTAATTTTTTTTTTATTTTATTAATTCCATTTACAGTAAAACATGACTATTTCTAAAGGTTGTCTTATGACATAACTGACTGAAGCTTCTTTAAACAGTCACTTTTCTTAAGTCTATCTTAAGTAATGTACTGTAGTCGCTAGATGTTTCGTAATAAAAATAAGATACATTTTAAATTACTAATGATAAATCATTAATCAAAATTGACCGTCGCCGGTTTGTTATCACTCTAATTATTTTTAATTGCAGAAAGATATACGAAGAATACAATTGTTTCTTAATTTGGCGACAATTAAATTGTTAATGGAATTAGCTTATAAAGCAATGAGACATAACATTAGCGAAGATGTGTTTGATGTTGATATCTCCTGGAATTCCGAACTAGTTAACTTCTGTAAGTATCTGATTGAATATTTTTTTTTAGCTTTTTGCGACTACGTCCGTATGGTGTTAAAAAAATCTATATGTTCTTCAATACCATCCTCTACATCTATACTAAATTTAATTGAAAACCGTTCAGCCGTTTAGACTACAAACTCTAACAAACATCCATAAATGTAAACTTTCGCATTTATAATATTAGTATGATTAAAGACTATGTCGTTGTTGATGGCGCAACTTCCAATCTCTTGTGCCATCCTGATACAATACGACGTTTACTATCTTTTTTACCTGTTTAATTAGAGATAGCCAATAATAATTGACCATTGGTTTTTAATTTCATTTTTCAATTCTATACTTAACGTTATGTAAAATTGTTTTGCAGTTCTATACATATTTTTGATGACATCTGTTTACTATCATATGAAGTTCCTGCAAAAGGAACCTTCTGAACCAGAAATAACAATTATTAAGCTACAAGGTGAAGTTAACAATAAAATCGATGAAAAAACCAAGCCCATTGCAGAAGAGAAGGAAGAAAAGCCTCCAGCATACGCTTTGGTTTGATTCAATTTTGAATGAAACGTTTTATTTTTTTAATTAATTCTTTTCTCTTATATGTGTGCCAGTAACAATTATATTTTTATTTTAAAATAATAACTAAGCCAAAGAATAACTATTTTTATTCAAATAATGTTAATCATTTTTTCTTTCAGTTAACTGTTATTTCCAAGTCCTTGTGCGATGTACAATTACGTGGGTTTCCGGGCCATTAGCGAAGTAGTTTCTTTGCTTCAGTTAATGTTATTTGTTGGCGAGTAATTACAGAGTGCGATGTAGTCGTGTGTCGCATCCAAACAACCAAATGCCAATTTCCTAAGTTATTTCCACTCTTAAGGAAACGTACTGGGGAAGTAAATTGTAAAGAAATTAAAAAAAAAACTTTATTCCTTTGAGGTTGTAAGGGCTTCTGAATGGTGTTTTTAAATATCCTATTTGGTAAGGTCGGTTAATGTTTTGAAAGTTCGTTCATCATACAGACATGTTATGTTTTAAACGACTGTAGTATAGTTTTTTCAAGATGAATACAGACGTGACCACACATTACGTTAACGATTTTATTGCAAAAAAAATCATTAAACGCGTATTATTTTTGGATTGTTATGTTTTGTGAAGTATAATGGTTTTGAATTGATTATCTACTACTTGACCTCGATTGTAATATTATGAAACTGAAACTTTTTAAATGCACTTTGCAAAGGAGATATAAAACGATTTCCATAACAGGTTCCTTGGCTTGAACTAGTTACTGCATATTAAGGTAGGCATTAAGAAAATGTCTCACATTCAAATGCTCCGTTCTACCTAGAAGTGAGTTCGTTCAGTTATAACTACTGCATAATATTATGCTTTTGAATACAGGAAACTTTGTAATTTTTATCGGTGTTCTGATCTAGAATATTGTTACTATTTATTACTACAATTATGTTTCAAGAAAGAAGTTGGATGTATTCACAAAAAGATATTATTTTCTGACATTATTTGTTTACTTTAACACTTTTTATTTCTTGTTATGTTAATTTTTTTAATAGATTTGAATCTTTCTTTTAAGCAATAAAAAACTTGTTTGCGTAGTTTTAAAATTGCATACAGAAAACTCGAAGCGTTGGTGGCTTAGTGGTTTAAGCTCTTGGCTTGTAATCTACAGGTCTTGGGTTTGAATCCCGCCATGTACCAATATGAGTTTCGAATTTTCGAATTTTTATACATAATTTATCCGACGTCCTTACGGTGAAAGAAAACATCGTAATGCAACCTGCACATATCAACAACAAGATATGTGTGAAATCAACCAACCCGCAGTGGGCCAGCGTGATTGACTATGGCCTAGTCACCCCTTACTTAGGGTAGGCTCCGAGTCCCTCGGTGGGGACGTATAGTGAGCTGGTGATGATGATGATACAGAAATCTATAGTAAATCTTTTTTTTATTTTTCTCATTGTAAAGTTTTCAGTTTATGTAAATAATACTTAATATAACGCGTTGTTGCCACCTAATACGTTACAACAGCGAAAAGAATTCAAGCCAATGTAGGGAAGCTTCGGAAGAGGAATTTTAAATAAATGGATCTTTCCTTCAAAGCGACTTTTATGTTATGCTGTCTATATACATCCCGATCCCCTGAGAATTAATGCAATCTAACTCCATTTTTCCACACCTGTATCACGATGCTGGATAAAATAAACATTCGATACGTTAGCCTTTACTTTTTAAAAGAGACCAAGGAGTGGCTACTTTATGTCGACTCCAGTCAGAATTAAAGCTTTGTTCGTACTTTTAATGTAAGAACAAATTATTTTTGTAAAACATGTTCCTAGTACCATCTTAACTTTTGAATAGGAATTGTTTTTTTTTCTTTATTTCTAAACGACCTAGTCAGTAGTGTTTAGGCAAGTAAAGTATTTTGTTAAGAAAATTTAGAGCGGGCGCAGACCTTTGACTAAGATATCGCACGACTGTTGTGCGACTGTCGATTGTTTCGCAGCCAATTCAATTGTTAAATTGCACAACTAGAAATCGAGTATTGTTGCGACTAAGCAGTTGTGCGATAATATAGTCAAAAATGTGTGCGTGCTCTTAGGATGCGCAGCAGCAGGTGTAGAATTTATCTTTTTAATAGTAAATATATAACTTTATAAACTTTTAATAGTCCATAGAATAGTCAAGGTTCTTATTTTCAACCTACTTAGTAGGCCTTATTGAACCTTCATTGAGTCTACGCCGTAGTTTTCATTAGGGTCTACGGCGTAGACTGTAGCAAATCGTATATGAAATTATTACTTTATAAACTAAATATTACAATGTAATTGAATTGTTCCTCATTCGTAGCAATTTCTCAAAATGAGAAAAGAGCTTAATAAAGGATTATACGATCAAAAGGGTACTAGTACAAACACGGAAAATTATCTGTAATTTGTTGGTCGCAAAGATGTTATCTGTAATTAAATCGGACTATAATCTACCCTTTCAAAATAACCATACAATCTTCGTTCATTTGGCCTTCATTCAGTCACCCAATTGCACATTTATCTCCTCATTATTAAGTCTGTTTATCGAATTATAATTTAATTTTTGAGTATTCTTAGAAATACAATGAAAGAATATTCCTTTGAAAAAAAAATTGAGTTTCCCTAGAGATTTTTGTCTAAGTCAACAGAATTTTCTTGCGAAATTTTGTTATTCTTGTTATTTGTTACAAAAAATTGAATTTCACTTGTCATATGATTTATGACTATTCTTTCTTTTAAATAATCAACATTTGTACATTATCAACAATAACGTTCGTAACCTTAAGGGGTAGGCAGAGACCACGCATATCTAAGCATGTACGGTGTCAGTAGCTTTTAAAACCTTTACATTGATTTTCTTTTAGAAAGAGTTTTTCTCTAGAGTTGAGATTTTTTTTCCATTCTATTTAATTTAATTGTAATTTTTTGACTGACTTCCCAAAAGAAGGAGGTACTCAATTCGTCGATATATATTTTTTTTTATGTGTGTTACGGCATAATCGTAGAGTATAAATGTTCGTTTGTGTCATTTTCGTTTGTTGGTCAATAAATTTTATTTTATTTTATTATTTTTATTCATTAGACAACTTATACATTGATATTTTCTACAGAAAAAGCTGAAACTTTTCCATCAGACTTTAATGTTCATTAATAAAAAGAATCAGGGTCTTAGTGGACTCCGAGTTGATATTAACTTGAGCCAGACAGCGTGAAAAATGAACTGAAGAACGGCAACTTTGCACTATTACAGAAGATGTTGACACTCCTTTGTTTACTTCTGAGATTAGCGCCGAGACACCGAGTAATGAGTATTAATGATCTACTTTAAGTTCATTACTTATCTTAGAACTTTTACAAAATTTAATGAAATAGTGCAATGTGCAAGATCTCCATTTCAAAAATGTTCAAACAGAATACAAAGCATATAACACAAAACGTTAAATTATATCACCACAGTGCTTTTTTCTAATGTTCGTATTATTTTATATGTATGGAAAACCAGACACAAAGCTTCATTGTAGATTAACAGCTTCGATAACGTGCTAGGTGTTATTTCTTGATTTAAAACGATTAAAAGTAACAACTACTCACTACTACTCATGTCCCTGTTTTTACCTCACTCACTAGTATTACTTAGGTTCTTGGGTTCGAGTCCCGGCATAATGTGTGTTCGATTTTCAAATTTATACAATTGAATGAAAAATAAGCGACAGTCTATTGTTACACATATAAATTTGAAGCCACAGGTCATCCCCATGGGTTACTGCATATAGTGACAATGTACTCGTATTCTAACGAAAATAATCACAATTTCCATATATCTAATTAGTATTCTTCATTTTCACCTCGAGTCTGCTCATGTAAGCGTTAAATCAGGCCTTATTACCCATTAGTGTCGCACTGGGACTAATATTTTCTCAGGAATTTAATTTCTAAGGAAACACTTTGCCAGATAACTTCGCACGAAGTTAGCCCAATAGAATACTTAGGTGTTTTCTAAAGCAATTTGCTCGTGACTAATTACCTTACGTGATGTGCTTGGTTATAACTGCTTACATGATTCGTAACCCTACTGAATGTAAATGAACATTAACTGGGATACACTGAAAGAAATAATTAGTACTACGCATGTAATATACTAAAACTCCTGCTAGTTTTGTGTTTGATTATAACGGTAGTCAGAAGATATCAATCTGTAAGATGCGTATTAATCGATCTTATTTTTTAATTTATTGATTTTTTTATAACATAAGGTGGCAAACGAGCAAGCGGCCACTTGAATCCGCCAAAATGGCGAAGCGACCGCTGCCCATAGACATCCGCAATTGCAGATGCGTTGCCTACCCTTATCCGATGGAAGAGGAGACTCACATAAAGAGGATATTTTCCCTTCCTATGCATCTCCTCCACTGTCAAATCCACTTCCCCTTCCCATCCTCTCCTTATGAGAAAATGGTGGTAAGGAGTATGGGACTTAAATTAGGCCTCCGGCACCACACTCATAAGACGAATCACGGAATAACTTCCATTTCACGCCTATCTTATGTGTGGTCGTGGTATTACACCGGGCGTGGCAGCCTATTCGTGCTAAGATGTTAAAGCGGGCACTACCACTGTAAAATAATGTGATATATGGATACATCACAGCTAATTTAATCACACAATTACATAGGAAAATAGAAAACAACATCTGTAGTTCCTCTGGTGTTGCGGATGTCCATGGGCGTCATTGACCACCTCTGTGTTCCCGCCGCTCGTTTGCCCCCTTCACATGTAAAAAAAAGAAAACAAGTATACACAAAACCGATTTTAAAACGTGTAATGATAACATGGCTTCCCGGTTTTCCTGTAACACGTACTGACTACATCACTCGTCAATTAAACGGCGTAACGTCAGTACGGACCTTGACACATATAAGTAAATTCTAATCGTGAGTTTCCACTGCATTACATGTACAGAAACAATTTTTTTTTTTTAAACAACAAAAGGAGTATATTTTTGTTAGAGTTTAGAGGAGGCCTATGGTTATGTATCGAGTATGTAGCAATGCAGTCCATAATATTTCTTCAATCCCATT